CCACAATGCTGTTCACATTGCAATCGAATACATCCTCTGAAATATTGTAACTAAATACAGATCCAACATAGACAACCGCATTAGGCAGCACTTTGCTTTTCACAGATGGTTTAGGTTGTATACTTTCTTGACTTGATACAACTGGTAACAAAATTGTGCCAAACAAACTGGCAATCAGTAATATCCACCACAGTCTAAGCCTTGGTATACCCTTTGCAGATATAATTCCACTGAAAACACTGCCAACAGTGTTTGGTAGGCTCCAAAATAGCAGTAAAAGTCTTAGCAAACACGAATTTAATCCCAGAAAAGTCCATCTTGAAGTAGATCTTATAAGTGATTTTTTTCTCCAAGGAGTACACTTCAGAAAGTTTTTGTTGCAGTTTTGTTCACGTGGATTTGAATTTCCAGACATCTGTGGGCAGTTACAACAACATCGAGGGATCGATGTCCAACAGGACGATGCAGACGTCCTTTCAATTGGTAGACAATACAAAGATGCTGTTTTATCCATCTTTTATCTCTTTTTGGCTTAATGCACACCAAGGTAATAATTTTTTTAGCTGATCCACTCTTGCCTTCTTGATAAGATCACCATGATTGAAAAGTGGCTGAAATAAAAGTAAGAGAAAATTATCAACACGCGAGGTTGGAATACATATACAATGTGTTCACAACACGGCCTCTTTTAAAACAGAAGGTAAGCACTCCTGTTGCAATCTGAATTACCATTTGGTTTCTCCTTGTTACCTCAGGTCAAACGGATAATTTGGAATGTATATATGTTTGAGGGATTGAAAATTTCATTTTTGATGATGAAGTCAGATGTTTAAATGAAATCATCATGAATGGTGTACCGACCAAACCTGTTGCGGTTTTCAATTTAAACGGAATTATGCTGCATAAGAATCTATCAATGTTCCAAACACTGCCAAGCGATAAAAATACTGCGAGATGAAAAAGTTAATCTAGTGGAAGTCACACCGATGTAGAAACGTGTCATTACAAGGGTCGGATTTCGTTTCCTTGTTTTCATGGTTACAAATACATAAGATGAAAACAAAGGCCGTAACGGCAGTTTTTTTCGTTTGAAATATTTCCTTGTGAAATTTATCGGCATTGATACATCAGAGTTATTACGATTTCTTCATGAGTCTGGTTTAGAATCTAAAGAAGATAGCCTGTGTTTTGATACCAGACGTAGATATTGGCAACTGTTTCCTACTACTTGAATGAATTCGCACTCTGCAATCTACACAATATGGGCTAAATAAACTCTAATAAAGTGCGCTAGCCGATCGAAGCCGTATATCGCTAAGTGAGGCTAAAATTATTCATAACACGTATTCGCGATGCAGGAAAATAAAAAATGGAAAGCTTGATTGAAGCTCTGGGAAGACTGTACCTTTTGCAAACATATTTTTCAGGCTGCACTTGCAGAATCAGTGCCCTATCATTTACAAAATATCAACGGCTCGAACAAAGCTGTTCGATCCGAGCCCTCTTCACTGTTCATCAAAAATTATAACTTACTGATAAGCTCATCAGCTACCAATAACGCTTTCTTCAGAATTTCTTGCAATTCGATTACACATCCATCACAGATTTCTTTCCAGGTTGTCCTTTCAAGCACCGATTACTCGGCGAACTATGGGCCGATTCAAATTTCTTTCTTCTTCGAATCAATAATCAACAGCGTCGTTCGGTTACCGAGGTCCCGAGGTATTTTCGAAAGCGCGTCATCTTCCAAATTTGGAAACGTGACATGTGAGAGATCGTACTTATTTAATGTTGGAATGGACTTCAACGAGAGGATAGCGGAACATCTTAGAAGGTTTTCCTAAACTGTCCACTTCAGACGAGTTTTCGCTTCCTGCACCAAATGAAAAGTAAAGCAATATCTTTGGCATTTAATTAGGGTTTAAAAATGAATAAATATGGATTAATGTGAATTGTCTCCTGAATGTACTGCTGAGGTTTGTGTTTAAAAGGTCAGAAATGGGCTATAGAGCACACCCCAGTTCAAACAAACAGATATTTAAAAAATAAAGAAATAAAACAAAACAATGTCTAACAGAACTTTTACTGAGCCTTTTCTTCAGAAACAAAATTATTGTTAATCCAAAATATTTATTTCAATTTCAATACGCCAGACACCCAACTAAGAACATGATTTTATACAAACCTTGTAATTTATACCACCAAAATGCATTTTTGAAAAATCCAAGTATTCATCTTGAATGGAAACTTTATTTGCTATCTACTGTCTTTTAAAGGTAATCCATTTTACATGCTAGTTGAGGGAACCAAAACCAAGGAACAGGGGTGAATCCAGGGAAGAAGGGACCTGACTTTCGATTTAAAAAAAGACAGAAATTTCTATTTACACTACAGCCCAGTTAAGTCAAGAAATATTTAAATACAAATAAACTGAAATTCTTCTGTTGAGAATTAAGTAACATACAACCCTGTCCTTGTATGAATTTTTTTGGCAGATTAGTAGTAAAAAAAACCTATGGGTCTGATAGGGTGGGGGTTCAGAGCCCTCAGACCCACCCTCTGGGTCTTCTACCACTTCATGTACCACTCTTTTTCTGTGGTCATGAAGGTGGAGATACAAGTAAAATCTGAATATCCATTACATTAGTTCCCGTTAATCCAGTCACCACATGGTCCCTTCCATTTTTAAATTTTGAGTAAAAGGAAAAAGAATCATTATTTTCCAAGAACTGTTTAGCATCAAGTCCATCTTCTTTAGCTTCAGTTACTTGATATGGATCTGCCATTGCTCCTGCAGCTGGGTTGGGACCATCTTGGCCATCTGTTCCTGCACTGAGTAGTACCAAACCACCATTGTTTTCATCATTACAAAACTGTTCTAGATTTTCATAAACATCTATCGCTAATGTGAGCGCCATCTCTTGGTTACGCCCCCCTATACCTTTCCCTTTCAGTGTGACTGTGGTTTCTCCGGCACCAATGATGCAAACTGGCTTTTGCTCATTACGTGCAGTTAATATCTCATTAACAATACTGCTAGTCAATACATGTTGGCCATAAGGTGACATTTTTGACAGATGCCCATTCCAAGCTAAATTAGCTGCATCTGAGAACATTTTTCCCACATCTCTTGCTTCACCACTTAACATTGTGGACAGCACCACAGGTGTATAGCCAAGCACTAGGGCTTTTTTCACAGCAGCATCAACCGCAAAGCGATTACTTCCTATGATGACATTCTGAACATGAGAAAAATTATTCAGTTTTACTTTTTCTTGCTTCTCTGTTTTCTGTTTTGATTGCTGTAGATACTGAATAACTGCATCTGGAATCTCTTCCTCTGCATTGAGTTTCTTGAATATTTCTAAGCAATCAGCTGGAGTTGATGGATCAGGTACTGTTGGACCACTGGCAATGATGTCAAGAGGATCACCTATCACATCTGAGAGAATGAGTGTCACCACCTGTTTGAGAAAAAATGTTAGAATTGATATACAATCTATCAATCAGGGCATCAGCACACTAGTGAGTCAGTTGATTAGTGACTCAGTCCCTGATTTATTAAGTAAGTTATTGCTTAGATTAATCAGTCAGTTATTGGGCCATTCAGTGATTCCGTCTGTGGTTGGTGTGTTAGTGATCTAGTAATTACCATTCTGAGGAACATGACAGAAAAATTTATGAATGTATTAATCAAACTAAGTGTTATATAGACCTTTGCAGGGAAGGCTGCTTCGGCCAACTTTCCTCCTTTGATATCAGATAGGTTTTTTCTCACAGTGTTAAGCTCATGAATAGTAGCCCCTCTTGATGCTAATACTTTAATTGTTTTCAATTTCTCCTCCAGTGTAATTCCCTCAACAGGATATGGAAGGAGGGCTGAGCCCCCTCCCGAGATAAGGACCAAAAGAATGTCTTGGTTGCTCATGCTTTCTGCTACTTCTTTAATCCTGCTAGCAGCATATTGAGCCATTTCATCTGGAAGGTTGTTCTTTGCTCCTTCAATGATTTCTATTGTGCTGAGCTCACTGAGGGTGGACTTTTCAATCAGTTCTTTATTGCCAGAAGCCTGTGTATGAAGTAACAAATATGTATATCGTTTCAACCATTTTCAACACCAAAGATTTGATATACAATTGTTCTCTCCAGCTGCATTAAATTTTGTTTAAAATCAGTAAACCCTCTTTACTTCCAAAATTTTATAAATAATTCTTCTTACTGTCTACTATACAATTCATATAAAGTTAGCAGGAGAATTTTGTATTAGATCAATTAATAGTCCCTAATTGATAAACCTCCTATTGCATATCGTTTGTCTGCTTGATATTTTATTGATATAGTAAGGAAAACTTCTGTCTTGCTCACTCGTAGGAGGTAAAGGATTAAGAGAATTTGGTGCTCCAACACTGAAAAAGTTAAAAATGTGGATCTACACCTACCTTAATGGCGTGGGGGAGTCCTACGGGAATACTGGCCACCCCCCGGACAATCTGATCTCCCAGAACATCCTCCACTGCTTTAGTCATTCCTAACACAGCTTTCCCAAACGCAACCACGGAGACATTTTTATCGACAACATATTCATGATCCATGATGGACAGAATATTCTGACGAAACAAAAGGTTATTTTTTACCATCTCCTGAGGAGTAACCGCGCCGAGAGCAGCATGAAAAATCGATTGGGCGTCTGTCTTCAACTTGAGTTGAACATCTCTAGATGAAGAAGTATTTATCGATCTCGATCTCAGTAACGACATAAAAGGTCTTGCACGTTTTAAGTTACTTGTTACACAAAATAAAGCCATAAAAGACTTTAAATGAGGGTGGAAATTCAAAATCTGCTGTCACAATTTGCCACCGTCAACACCAGTACAACCAACCGGAAACCAAACTGAATATATTCCATACCAAGAAGGGTCCCGTGGGGATGTTTTCTTTTTTTTTTTCCTTTCCCTCCTTGAACCCAGGCTCTATGTAAACTTTCTCAAGGGTAGCAAGTTTTGAGAGCTACCATCTTTTATTCAACTTGCTTATATTCGGTTTGTTTATTTTTACGTTAGATTCCTTTGTAGAGCAGCGCAAAGAAACGGCCATGAACATCACGAGATGACTATTTCAGCGGCATCCACATTTATGTGGAATTGCAATGTTTGAAATTGTTCTGTGATTCGACGCGCGGAAATTCGAAGTTTGCGGGTTCCGTAGATTTCGACATGACCCAGCAGACAAGCCTACTACACATTGGTGATATAGTCTCCCTGTTCGCCGAAGGAACTGTAAATGGATTTATTAGCACACTTGGGTAAATGGCCGAGTCATAGATTACGTTATTCGCCTGTTCATCTGTTCTTTTCGTGTCATATTTTCTTCTCTAATCAAGTTTTACTTTTCTAGGCTGATCGATGATAGATGTGTTGTGCAACCTTCTGCAGGCGACCTGAACAATCCACCGAAAAAGTTCCGAGGTGGGTTCGTTTGATCGTCCGTTAAATACACCATTTAGTGCATGCATTTAACAGCTAAACGTGTTGCCACATCCGTGTTTTCGATTTGCAGACTGCCTATTCAAGGTTTGTCCTTCCAATCGTTACTCTGCCCAAAAACAGTTCTGGAAGGCTGCGAAACCGACTACAAGCGCCACAGATGCCGTGTTACTGAAAAAACTTCATGTAAGTTAGCGATGTTTATTCAAGCAATGCCTTGATTTTTATATATTTCCAATACCAACTTTCATTCTTGCGAGGGATTAGATATTTTGACACCTTTTAACCCGAGCGACAAATTGCACTTCCTGTACACGCTGACGAAGGAATTTTTAAAACACATTATTCTCTGCGACTTCATATCATCAATTACATCCGTGTCTCCGATAAAACTTGGACTCAATTTCAAAAGCATGTTTTTGTATTGTAGAGAAGTGCATGGAAATTAACGTAGCGCCTAATTAGACATTTATTTTTTTTTTCACGTCTTTCACTCAGGTGTTTTATTATCGACCCCTGGTAGCCAAGTCTAGGAGTATGTCGTGGTTTTGTGACTAATATTCAATGCTTAGAGGTCATGTTTATTTTCAAAGAAGTTCCTTGTCGAAAGTGTATTCGATCTCGATCAACTGTGTACATAACTCGGGGGGAAACTTCGGCTGGTCTGAGAGCCTATTGAAAATAATAAGGACAGCAGTAAAGCTTGGATTTTTTGGACTAGTCGTAAGTTGGTATTAAACAAACGGTATGCTTTGCGATCAGAAATTAACTAACATCAAAAAAAATTGAACGTTTGTATTTTTCGTAGAGAAATATATCAGTCTTATTGACTTGATGATTTAAGACTCTAGCATTTCTTACTTGTAATTTGCATAATAGATTGTTAGGAAATATTATTCTGTTGGCTCAAAGAAATTCATTGTTTGTTAGGTGTTAACACTAAAATCGAGCCGACAAACCAACGCGGAAGGGAAACATTTTTACGAAATAAACTGTATTTTTGCCGTTTTCTGATCTCCGACAGCGTACAACTGTGCCTTGAGAAATCGAGGACAGCTGTTTTGGTTTTTTTTTCACCTTTATCCGATGTTTTGTGCTCAATATTTCAGTTTTAATAACAGTAGCATACAGCTGGGAGATTGAAGGGAAGAACGATAAGTTTACAATTATAATTTTGTTGCGAAGGTAATTTTATTACAGGGGAAAACATTCTCCCTTATACAGTCAAGAAACAGGACATTTTTATTATACTTGAATGCTAATTGGCTTTCCTAGCCTATTGGCAATTGTTCAATTTCAATTGTTTGGTTGGACAGTATCGACCAAAATACTTCTTTGGGAATCATAGTCTGTTACTTTCAAGCTTTTTGAGGAGAAAATTGTTTCACTTTTCAATGCCCTGTGACTTTGTACCAGCTATCTTTACAGGATAGTTTTAATACAGATCTTTATAAGCCAACATGATTAATTTGCTAATATTTGAACATTGTTAATCTGTGAGCCTGAATTATGGGATTAAAGAGCCAAGAGAATTATTGCTATGACTTATGTCAACCCATGTGTAGCATTTGATAGTAACATTTTTTTTTATTTAAATGTCTTACACATGGCATAATCATTTAGCTTTTGTGTAACAATGTAATTGGCAGCTTCCAAACAATAGCATTAATTTAAATCGGCTAATTTAAAAACTTGAAGCTTGGCTGTTTATTTATTTGGTTAATTATGCCAAAACTGAAAACAGCTGTTGACAAGAACTGCCAGTTACATCAAGTTAAATTTTCAACTCACATTTCAGAATCATAATTGAATATACTCTTTAAGATTATTTGGCAGCTTTTTTTTTTAATGGAAATAGGCTTCAACTGGTATTGTAGTTTGAATCTGTGAATATTTATGCATTTGTCCTCCCCCCAAACAAATAATAAATACAATTGTAACATAAGTAATTATCTCCTTAATTTCATTCCAAACCATGAATTTTTAATATATGTAACAATTGAGCCGTGTATGAAACCATTGAAGGCAACTGTTGATTATTTATGAATAGGAACTTACAGTTAACTTGTGCCATTTTGATAATAATATGGTTTGAATTTTAAGATGGGGTTTTTGTTCTAATGGTTTTGCACAAAGTTGCAGCTGTTCCAGCGAATGACAGACAGTAATTGCACATTACAACTTCTTCCTTATGCAAGTTGTCACAGAATTTATGAAGTCATTCAAGGGTTGAACGCTGCCAGTGATCCTCTGATTGTCATAAAAATGATTCATTGTTGACTACTGTATGAATAACTTGCTCTTGTGAACTACTACGTCCGTCCAGCTGACCTGTCTTTACATGATGTGTGACACCGACAGTAAATAGTTAAAGAAGCGTCACTAGTTTTAATACCTGATGAGACAGAAACATAACTTAAACTAGATTTCCTATTTTTTTTTTTTTTTTTTGAATTTTATTCCATGTCTTGGTAGCAACTAACAGAATTAGAAAATTGTGGCTGCAGATATTTTAAGAAATAAATAGCAGTAATTAGTGATATTGGATCTTCCAAAGAAGAGGACAAAGCCCTGAAAAAAGATGGGTTTTAAAAGGGAGAAGTGGAAGTTTGATATTTTGTTACATCTTTTCTAAACACATTCAATATACAGAAACTTGCGCTTTACAAACAGGGATGGTTTTTTTTTTCTTTTCTTGGAATTATACAGTGTGATGTAATAATTTGACTTGAATAAATTAGGGAAATGTTAATTAGTTGAAGTGTTAATTAGATTTACACTGTCGGCTCTGTGTCCCATGAATGCCTCTTTGTCAAATACCGGTAATTAGTGAGCATGAGGCTGTAAATTGGTCCATTTGTAGAAATTTAGCCCAGAATTAGAGTGCTTTATATAAAAATACTGATTTTACTTGGGTAAATTTAAATTAAAAGAATGCTGAAGTAACTTTAAAATCAGTTTATATTTGACATGTTTTAACTGTGTTTATGATGTAGAAGCAGTCTGACTTTTGAGATATTGATCCGAAAGGAAATTCAACACTTAAGCCTTATATTGGGCTTTGCGATGCGAAGGTCAAAATGATATTAAATGGACTAAGTTCTGTATTTCCTTTGTTCCAGATAAATTGTCATATTTCTGTGAATGGTGATGTTATTTTTATCATTGACTGACACAGGCATTAACTCAAAAACAAAGACGCGAAGTACTCCCAGTAGGAGTCAATTCTACAACTTGACGAGTAGTACTTCTGATGCTGTACTATATTCCTTTAACAGAGGATATTACAAATCAATCTAAATTTGATATCATTCTTTTCCTGAATTTCATTTTAACCCACAACATTTACCAGACACATGATTTGACACTCAGGCTCATTAATTCTTTACACCCTAACATCAGTATGCATATTCTCCATACTGTTCTTGATACATTTTTAAAGGTGCTAACAAGGAGAGTTTTTTAAACAATCAAGAGCTTCTTTGATTTTTGATCATTTCTTTTATTCTTGTGACCTTAATCAGTGATTCAGGGGTGATATTGTAAGGAGAAATTAGATGCTAGTCACTTGTACGAGGAAAAAGATTAACAACTATGGATAACTACTTAATATACAGTTTAAACAGAAATATTATTAATGGCCCTGCAAAAGCTTTGTTATTTGTTCCACTGCCAGGGATTTACTTGCATCCAACACTGTCATTTTATAGTAAAAGTCATAACCTGACTATCAAATATAATGTTTACACACTGTAAGACAACTTGAGCACTGGACTAAGGTGTTCTTGAATGTTATTTCAGCATGCTGCAGAGTTGGAAAAGAAACAGAATGATTCTGAATACAAGAAGTGTTTGGGAAGTGTGGTAGAATATGGAGGAGTCATTCAGGTATACTGCAGCCATGATTTTTGAGTTCAAAGCTTTATAACCAAAAGTATTTGTTATTTTTGATTATACTGTTAGTCAGCAAACTGATTTTTTTCCTGAAAAATATTATGCTGGCTGTGGATAGACCAAAAACCGTTTTGCCTTAAGTTATAACTCTAAACAGCAAACTTGATTATTACTAAATATCAAATTCAGAAAGTGGTTTAACTAATTCTGAAAATGTTTGTAGTAGTAGTAGTAGTTTGAGAAGGTGACACAACTAATGGATTGAATTGCAGGTGAAATAACTGAGTGAAACTGTATGCTGTAATTACAAGTTTATAGTTTCTTTGTGTGATCTGATCCCCAATACAATTGGGCAGGACACAAAAAAATTCTTGAATATTTGAGATCTTCATGAATGGTACAGAGCTAACTTTTGAAATTATTTGTCCAACATCAACACTTAAAGCTGCTACATGTGAAGAGTAACAAGTTTCTGACAGTAAACAAACGACTTCCAGCCTTGAGGGAGAAAAATGCCATGCGGGTTACATTGGACACCAATGGAAATGAGGTAAAAAAATTCTGCCGAGTTAATTCTCTCTCAGTAGCATTTTAAGAAATTTCCAAGAAAATACAGAATGATGTAGTTATTGAATAAATTATCACACCAAAATGGAGAAGGTGTTGTGGCTCAGAAAAGCATGATGTTGAGAGCATGGCATAGAGTCAAACTTTTTCTCTTTAAAACTAATCTAGGAGGCTTGTGACCTTTGCCCCTAAGCTACGATTTGAATATTGTAACAATTTCTGTTTTACCTGCATGCAATATTCAACTGCCAGGCGATCTATAGACTACTATCTGAAAGAAAGATCAGTAGTACACTCATGCTTCCAATATAAGGTTTTAAACCTTTCAAAAACTCCCAGAATTTTTTAATATGTAACTTTTCCTTACAATATCAATGAGAATAATCAAACTTATCAGGTAGAAGTTGTTATAAGGATCAATTACCAAATCCTTGAAACTAATTTACAAGGAAATTTGTAACAGTCAGAGGGGAAAGTTAACAATCAGATCTTGGGTTAAATCTCATTGGATAGAGCATTCAGGGCTCAGCTAATATCATCTATTTAGACTATCACAATTTTCATACAATGACCTTTAATTTTTTTACTAGGGATCTTGGTTTTATGTTGTTCCATTTTACAAGCTGAGATCTTCTGGAGACAAGGTTGGTAGAATACAGGTTTTTGTATTTAGGTGTCGACATTTCTGAGAACCAAGGTTCTGTTAAATAGATTGAAACATACAATGTCCTCTTCTGTAGGTTGTCATTGGAGACAAAGTTATATTAAACCCAGTCAATGCAGGTCAACCACTTCATGCAAGCAACCAAGAACTAATTGACAATCCAGGGTGTAAGGAGGTTAGCTTTAAAACATTTCTGTTTGTTGCTAGACTTTCATTAATGCAAATCTTTAAGGAACATCCAGAAAAAAGTTTGAGTTCTCAAGAGTTCAAGTTGAATAGGGTAAAATTCACTAAGAAAGTAACCAGGAAGGTGCTAAAAATTTTCCTGTTATTAGACATCCTCTGAATACTGATCTAAGAGGGTGGTGAAAGGTTTAAATGTGACATATGATCAAGCCCAAAATTAACATGTGATGGGGGATTTTGCAGAAAGGCAAGTTAAAGTGAGGTTTTAAGTTTTCCCTTTTAAATTTTTTATGATTCATGAAACACTGTTTAAAGTACATGTGACATGTGAATTTTTCAAGCTAGGATAACATTTGTAACAAAAGAGGCAGTGCTTTCATTTGACAAGTAGCTGCAGTTTTCCTTGGCATAATAGTTCATTTTATTCATGTGTATCTGTTCTTCCTTTAGGTCAACTCTGTGAACTGCAATACAAGTTGGAAGATATCACTCTTTCTTGCCTATGAAGACAACAGTGATGAGGTCTTGAAAGGGGTGAGTGTGATTCTGCTGGATTTCTTGTTTTGTGCAAGCAAAGTTTGCAATCCTGAAGGGGCAAAGGCAGGTTCCAGTAGCCAATCAGAGGACAAGATTTTCTTTGTCTTGCAGAGTCATAAAGCTAGTTGTATGATAAAGTATGTTGTTGTCATGGGGATGGGGTCACTGCAGAAACTGGTAGTAGTGAATGTTTTATTTTGCACCGTGGCTCATCGGAAAAAGTGCTGTGTTTTTCTCCTTGACAGGGTGATGTAGTCAGATTGTTTCATGCAGAACAGGAAAAGTTTTTGACAGCAGATGATTACAAAAAGAAGTCATATGTGTTTCTGAGAACTACAGCAAGACAGACAGCCACATCAGCCACAAGTTCCAAAGCGCTGTGGGAAGTAGAGGTGATTCAGAAGACCTTCATGTTTTAAGGAAGAGCATAAACATATTTGAGTTCTGTACCAGAAGAAAGAAACGTTTTCTAATGTTGAATCTGTACTGACTGATAATTGATTTAACAGGTTGTCCAACACGATCCTTGCCGGGGAGGGGCTGGGCATTGGAATGGTTTGTTCAGATTCAAACATCTGGCCACTGGAGATTACTTGGCAGCAGAGGTGAAGAATACCCTTTTCATGATGTTTCTTTTCTTTTATTTCCATTTTCTCTTTCATTGTGGAGCACTTTGTGATTGAGTATCGCAAAAACCAAAAGCAAAGTAATCTCAGCAACCAATCAGTAAAAGAGAAAATACTTTTATCTCTTGAACTCCCAAGATCTCATTAGTAATTCTCCTTACTGTCTGCCATATAGTTCTTGTGATGTTAGTTTTGAGAATTTGGTATTGGATCAACTTATAATCTCCTAGTTGATATCCCAGAGGGAAAAGGGGAAATGATGGAACAATCTGATAATAATATTTGATGATAATAGAGGATCTTTTTGAAAGGATCTAATAATTAGAGATTTATTGGAAAGATTATGATGGACTTTTTTTTTCTTTTTAGACTGATGATGACCCTACGAAAGACACAACGAGACAAAAACTGAAAGGCAATGGAGCTGTGTGTCACCTTGTTCCTGTCCCACATGGAAACGATGTAGCCTCAATTTTTGAGCTGGATCCTACAACACTGACAAGAGCAGACTCATTAGTGCCAAGGTGATAATCAAAGGCTTACTGTGAAATTTGTATTGCAAATTATTTAACTCTTAACCGATCTGAATTAAATTCAGTTCGATTTTTTCAGGTGAGTGTTTCCTTTTACTTACCTTTTTTTTCATTTTTTCGTTTATGAAGGTCATCTTATGTTCGTCTGAGACATCTCTGCACAAACACCTGGGTGCATTCCACTTCAATACCTATTGACAAGAGTGAAGAACGACCTGTCATGCTTAAGGTAAAAATTTCATTCATTTTCATTAGAAGCCTTTGAGGTGTTTGCTATCCCTTCTGTTTGGTCCGTTCTATAACTCAGGTGCTTCATGGGAGGCCTGGGTTTAAAGTTCAGGTTTTATTTGTGTTCAGTCACTAATTGCCGTCGATGCTCGAAAGTAAAAGTTTTTCACCTGGAGGCAGAATTGAGAAATGGTAAAGAAGAAAAACATGCTGTTTGAACTGACAGTTAGGCTGTGGGACAATGACGGCTTAATAAACTTTGCCTCATGCGGTTTACATGTCTCATGCACTTATTCAGATTGGTACAGCAAGTATCAAAGAAGACAAAGAAGCGTTTGCAATTGTTCCAGTCCCTCCAGCTGAAGTGAGAGATTTGGATTTTGCCAATGATGCCAGTAAAGTATTGGGCTCTTTTGCAAACAAAATGGAAACAGCAAATTACACTCAGCATGAAAGACGGTAAATGTGATAATTAGGATTTTGAGTGTTTGTTTTTGTGAAGGGGTAAAAACTAAGGAACTCTGAAAAAATCTCAAACTTTACACACTTATGACGCCAAGACCGTAAGTGGAACCCAGGCTACAGCAGTGGGAAGCAGACGCTCTTGCCGCATCCCTTTTGCCCACATAGGCTTTTCCAAGTTCTAAACGGCCTCACTTTCAAAATGAAGCCAAATGCCAAACTTTTCTTGTAAAAATGAATTTTGTTTGCTCCATGGTCTCGTTTTAAAACAAAAGCTCTACGTATTTTGGGAAAAGACTCTTTGATATAAACCTTCATCTAGTTTGAAAAACTTATTGATGACAAATACATTAATTTCATCTTTTTTTTTAGATTTGTGACACAGCTGTTATCTGATCTTGTTTACTTCGTGACGGAACATGACACTGGAAGGGAAGACGTCCTTAATATTTCTGTTCAAAATCCAAATAGAGACAGACAGAAGTTGATGAGGGAACAGTATATATTAAAAGAGGTTGGCTTGATAGATCGGCTTTTTTACTAAGCATTTAATTTAAGGGAAAATTCGTGGCTGGGATGACGCGGCGTTTCGTCTCGACCAAGAAACTCGTCAGATACTTGTCATAAATTTCACGCGACCTCGTCGAGCATCGCGCTCAAAGTTCCGTTTGCGAAGGCAAGATGTAAGCCGTCTGGCCCTCTATCACAGAGGGATTCCCAACTGTATGTTCTCGACCTCATGTATATATTGTAACTCGTGAACGAAACGCCGCGTCATACCAGCCACGAATTTTTCACAAGTATTTTACGATTTTTTCATTTTACTAATTTAATTTTTGTCAAAATGGTAGTTGGTGGCCTGATGGTCAATACACTGGACTCCCAGTCGAGAAGTCCTGGTTCGAGAGTTGGCCTGGCAGGGACAATATGTTGTAGCCTCGTGCGAAACAATTTGCTCTCACAGAGTCTCTCTCCACCCAGGAGTATAAAGGGGGTTCCAGCAAATTGTCAGGGAAGCCTGATGAAATTCTGGTTGGGGGGGGGGGGAGGGAGGGGGGTAAGCTCCGGCTGGATGAGCTACTTGCCTCAAGTACAGACTGAATCTTTTTTTCTTTTTTTACCTCATTCTTCTCACCTGTAAGAGGCTGACTAAAATTATGACCATTTCCTCGGTAGGTTTTTCATCTCCTTAAAGCTCCTTTCACTGACAAAGGTTTAGGTCCTCTTATGGGGATTGAGGAACTTTCGGATGCAAGACACGCCCCTCTCCGACACATATTCAGACTCTGTTACAGGGTGCTGAGACACTCACAACAAGATTACCGCAAGAACCAGGTATGATAATAAAACAATCGACATTATTATCATTGAGTTGATAATGTAAATTGGCCACTATGAAGAGTTTCTAAGCTGACACTATGATTCGCTTTGATAAACTATTCACAAAGGTTAACATCATAATTGGCCAGTGAGAACTCAAATAAAAACATGCAAGCCGCCAAATGCGCGGGAAAATGTGGGTATCCGAGTCAAGATTGGTTTTAGTTGTGCATCTGATTGGTTGGGAGGATGGCGTGAGTTTTCTAGACCAATCACAGAGCGAAGTAACGCAAAATCAAAACATTCCCGAATTTACTTTCGACACTCACTTTAAAATCGTCCTTTTTGTACGTCACCAGAGCGAGGAACCACAATCCTTTTTACGATGAATTGTAATTTTTATTTTAGGAGTATATTGCCAAGCAGTTTGGCTTCATGCAAGCCCAGATTGGCTATGACATTCTGGCCGAAGACACCATAACTGATCTGGTCCACAACAACAGAAAGCTGTTGGAAAAACACATCACTCGCACAGAAATAGAAACGTTTGTCAGTTTAGTTCGAAAGAAGAAAGAATGCAGGCAAGTAGAAAAGTTTCCAAAGAATAGTTTTATGGCTCTTAATGCTATGAAAGCGTGTCGTGCTACTTATGGCAAAGTTTTATGAATTTCGGTATTGACTTGTAGACCTGTTGAGACGTACCAACTTACCAATTAGCACCCAATACTTCCTATCGAGTGCTCTGGGGTCGGTCCCCGGCCGGATCATTGTGATATGTTGATCGTGAGCTCAACACTTACCTCTCATAGTTCCCTTGTGTATCCCGTGGATAAAATTACGCATGATTGATCTGTCAGGGTAAACCTGAAAAAGGGGAAACAATTCTGTGGTTAACCTGCAGTGATCTTACTTCCCATCCATTCTCGTGTCACAGAAACTGGAAAGAACTTTTGAGAATGTACGGATTAGTGTTTTCCAGACTTACATACTTGTGGACTGAGGTTTTGTCTAATTTACAGGTTTCTTGATTACTTGTCCGACCTGTGTGTCTCTAATAACACAGCCATCCCAGCAACACAGGAACTAATCTGTAAGACCGTGCTCTACTCTAGTAATTCAGACCTGCTCATTGAAACCAGGTAGGAGCCGACATTCAACATAGGATATAAAATTTGAAATACGTAGATTAATCAATGGATAAATAACTGGATAAGTGAATGTTTAATAGTGCTCTTAATAGTAGTAGTAATATGATTATGAGAGAAAAATTTAACAAAAGGGCAGAGGAAAATAAAATGTTAGTTCTACAAAATTTTTCTTTTCAGGAATTTACAATCTGATTTATTTTGTAAATCAGTAAGAAATTGTATATAGGGTGTATAACTTTAAACGTATATTGATTTTTTTTCTAAGTTATGTGGTGATTTAAGGGGGTAAGTTTCTAAAGAAACTGTGGTGCTGCGTCGGTGGGAGAGTATAGCAGGTAATCTAGTGTTAACAATTGAGTTGAAAACGTCGTCGCTCTGACGAAGGGCTAGCGCTCGAAACGTCAGCCTTTTAACTCTACGATGGCCAATTTACGTTTTAAACTCAGTTGTTAACACTAAATTATGTGGTGATTTAGTTTGTGTTATAACATGAGTCACGAGTAACGAGTGATGTTGATGTCAGTATACATGTACTGTACAGGGATTTCAATAGCTTTTTTCCATAAGCGGCTGCCAATGGTGTAATTGGCGACTTTATACTGAAAGGCGAAACCCAAACACGAGGCCTGCATGTAGGGTGAACAGACGGCGGTAATAGGTCTTACCGACAACCGGTAATCGGCCTTTATTGCAACCTCTGCAGTGTATACGCATTTTGAAAACTTAAACAACATAATGAGAATGGCAAAACTTTCATTAGTCAAGTTTATGCTTTTATGCCATTTAATTCAATGTTTTGTTTTCAGAATAATTGAAGGAGAAGTGTTCCTTGTATGGGATAGTGGTAACAAAAAAAAATCGCAAAGAGACTTGGCACGAGGTGCTAAGATTGGAGTCAAAGATGACGTCAAAATCCTGGATTACTATAGGTTCGTTAACTTATTTCCCAGAGGGCTTTTCGATGAAGTGTAATGAAACCAAACCAAATTAATCACAACGGCCGAGTAAAACTAAGGAGAATATTTGAAGCGCGGGAAAAAGTGAGTGATCAAGACGCGCTTGGTTTTTGTTTAAACATTTGATTGGACGAGAGAGTGGTCTGAGTTTTGTGGACAAATCACCGTAAAAAAAGGAATAATTAATGAAATCCCGGATTGCATTTGACACATAATAATTCTTAGGCAATGTTGTCTTGTTGCTTTATGTAAGCCGACGGTGAAGTCGTATTTCGTCAGCAAGTTTTTACTAAAAAAAAAACGAACCAAACTTTTCACTGTTGATAAAGTTCATGCATTCACTAGATGGCGACCAACAGATATACACTTGGGCTGTGTATTTAAGTGAACTGAATTCTTACTTTTAAATTTACCGTCCTTTTTTGTCTAGGTACCAGTTAAACCTGTTTTCGCGGATGTGTCTGGACAGACAGTATCTTGCTATCAACAGCATCAGCAAGCAGTTAGATGTGGACCTTATACTTAGGTTTGTGTCGTATAATTTCCATTTTCAATTAATTTTCGTGTTCTTTATTTTCTGCAAGGGAGCCTTTCTAGGAGTATTTGACTTATTGTTTGCACCGCCAAAAAATACCCTCAGCTTTAAGAAGAAAACAAAAAAATTTAGTTCGGTAAAATAGAAGCTTTACTCCAACAGCAGCACAGCTCTGTGACTCTCTGACAGCTTTCCCCCTTGAGGGACCATATACTTCGTTAGCCAATCCCACCGTCGATTTGGACACCAGTATTTGCACAACTGGGTGTTGAGGAAGCTTACGATGTTGATGATATTTTTTTTTGTGTGTGTGATGTCTTTAGATGCATGGCAGACAAAGATCTGTCTTGTGACCTAAGGGCGGCTTTTTGTCGGTTGATGCTCCACATGCACATAGATCGGGATCCTCAAGAACCAGTTACACCTGTTAAGTACGCCAGACTGTGGTCTGAGATCCCAACTGAGATGAGCATTGAAATGTGAGTAGACCGCCACCAGCAAAATCTGATTTGCTATTTCTTTGTTTGTTTGTCTTTCTACAGGGAACATTCGTATTTATTTCATTTCTCCGCAATTGTATTTGGTACAATTTACAAGCACTTAAATCTGATTGGTTGTTTTGTTCCATTCTTGTGGCTTGTAAAAAGGTGCGGTTGCGAGCGAGCGACCAATCAGGTCGCCAGAATCACTAGGGAATTGAAAAACGAGGTTAATACAGGTATTTATTTCGGCTTCAGGTATGATCAGCATCTTGCGGTTGGAGAGGAGAGGGAAGAGAACAGACTGAGATTTTCAGGAGTTATTTCATTTGTGGAGAATTACCTTCAAAATATCAGCAGCAACATTTGGTCTTTCAGCGATAAGGAACAAAATAAACTTACTTTTGAGGTTAGGGCCGTAACTTAACACCATCTTGAAGTATTTCAAACAGAAGTTGAAAACAAAACACAGCCAAACAGAAGTCGAGGCCAAAACACCTTACCTGCACTAAGCGTAGAAAACGAACCACTTCGCGGTTGGTTTTTGCCTTGATTCTGATTGGTCAAGATCGTTGTTCAAGTTTTTTTCTTCGCTGATTGGAGAGTCATAAATCTTGGGACCCATTCTCTCCCATATCAGGCTTGAGGTGCTCAAATTTTGTTGACACCAAAATTTGCGCACCAGCAGAAATTGCTTGTCTCGAAATCTTTCTCATCTCATTTTGGCTTTAGTGTTGAATAAAAAAAAATGTTTGCTGTATCATAGTTTGGACCCTAAAATAAGAAATTCTTGGACCGTCGCTGGTCTATATTTCTCTGTGGAGTTACACCTCATGTTTGTTTTGCTATACTCGTCGTAGGTTGTGCAGATCGCAAGGAATCTGATCTACTTTGGTTTCTATGGCTTCAGTGAATTACTTCGTCTGACTCAAACAGTGCTGTCAATCGTAGATTGTGAGCAGCGAGCTCATGGCGGCATCAGAACCTCAGAAAAACCAACAGGCAAGATAGATTTTGTTGTGTTGTCTTTATGTAGCTTCGTGGCAAAGGTAACTCTGCCTCATGGGAAAAATAGGTTATTTCTTACTGCTATCGTTATAAAGTCGCAGTAACGTATCGTCAAAATCGTATTATTGTTATAATTTATTTTGATTTTACTGTGCAAAGTGGTGTTAAAGTTTGATAGGTAAGGTGTTCTCGGTACATTATTATGATTGGACGAGCACCTGGAAATCTGGGCATAAATCAAGTGATACTGGTAATATTTCCGGGGAAAGCCTTGGGGAGATAAGGCGTAAAAAAAGATGCTCTTCATTTTCGGGCTGTTGTTTTAACGAAGTCCGAGAGGAAATTCAGACAGAACTAGTGAAACCATTAGAGGAAACTTTGTTTGGTCTCACATAGCCGTTGAATTCCGATGGGGAACTTATCCGATGTTGACCTCTTCGACTCTTTTTTTTTTTTTTTTTCTTTTTTTTTTCAGTTGGTGGGATTGGTGAGAAGATCAATGTGATGCGAAGTATTCACAATCTGGGCGCAATTATGACACGTATGGCGTTAGGAGGGAACCAAGATCCATGGGGGCTCACACAGCAACCTGAAGGAGGCCCCAAGCCCGAGACCGAGATTGACCACGTTGTCATGGAGACCAAGGCCAAGATAATTGAAATTCTGGAGTTTATAATGAACGTTCGACTTGATTATCGCATTTCCAGTCTGCTGACAATCTTCAAAAAAGATTTTGATGAAAGTAACGCAGGCTTGGCTGATATGGGAGGAGAGAATGGTACAACTTTTTTTTGCCGCTTATAAAATATGTACTCGTAAAAGTACACGTACACGTACGCGAACACGTACACGTACACTTAAACTTACACGTACACGCATACGAACACGCACACGTACACATACACGCACATGCACACGTACACAAGTACGCACACATATTTCTTAAAACTATCCTTATCAATTTAACTTTGATCTACTCGTCATGTAAACTTAATAGGGTAAATTTTATCTTTTCTTAGTTCAGTTTGGCTTACCGTCTTTACTCAAGGGGCATTTTTAGTCAGCGGGAAGAGATCTCTTTTAAAAACGGTCTTTATAGTAAAAGAATTTGAAAATGCCTCTTTGATCACGTGGTATAACCGGAGCTTTGCGAAAACAGTGACATTCAATGGACACGTAATCCTTGGAGCATCACACGCGCATGTTCCAACATTCATCAGGGGCTGAAACAGCGATCCATTTTAAAACTTAGCCAGTTTGGTGTGGACGGTGGCAAAGTCTTTTTACGGGCTGAATTATTGACTGGCTGATCTATACATTTTATTTCCAGGAAATAAACGACGCTGTAAAATTGATAAAGATGGTGTACCTCATTACCTTGGACCTCCTAACTGTACGTCATAACGTTAAAATGATTTAAACATCAAGAGACACTTAACTCCTTCTTAGCCCCTCGAGCCCCAAGAGTGACTAACATCTAACTTCTCCTTACAATATCACCCCTGAATCACACATTAAGGTCATGAGAATATAGGAAATAATCAGCAACTAAAGAAGCTCTTGATTGTTAAACAAATTCTCCTTGTCAGCACCTTAGGAAATGTATAGAGAACAGTATGGAGAATATTCATACTGATGTAAGGGAATTTAGGTTTAAATATTAACTGAACATTTCGCGGGTGCGCTTCTGATGTAACCGGAAGTGGCTTACTTATTAGATGCTTTAACGATCCTGCACAGTAAACATCGGGAAAAATCTAAAACGATCTAAACTCATGGCTAAATTTTTAACGCTAAGAGAAATAGTGAAATTATTATATCATGAAAATGTTTTGCCTTCCATAATGACCTAAAAAACGTTTCTATATGATTAAAACAGGTTTTTGTTATTTCTATTTAAAACTTTAACCGTTTCTGCGCAGAAAAATATGAATTTTGTTGAATCGTCTTAAGATATTTTATTTTTGAAATATATCAATTATTTTAAAGCCCAATGCATTAAAACTTCACCTGTACTGATGTGAAGCATGCGTCTGAAAGAGTGATGCAATTTTCTTTGTATGATTGTTTTCCTCATGCTTTTTCTGTTCCAGGCGTTCAGTTAATAAAACATGGCGAAATAGTAAACAGCATGATGGCAGAGCGAAAACGAGGGAGGACTGGGTCGCGTCGCGTAGTTCATTGTGCGCATCGATCCAAATTTCCCTGGTTTTTTTTCTCCTCCGCTACCGTCGCGTCGTTTCCCCTCACGCTTCGTTTTACCAACTGGACACCCGTGACAGAATGGTTTACTTTCTATTGATTAATATTTTATTTTTAGGGATTGATTTGGAAAACATCAGTCAGCAAGCTGAAGCTATATTTGGAGGCTCCACGTAAGTTTTCCCTAGTTTATTTCTTGAAAATACCAAAAGGTTTTTTTAACCCGTTTCTGTCAGTCTCGTTTTACAATCCACGTTAACATCGATATAAAAAAAGGGGAAATCTATTGTTTTCTAGAATGAGTCTATCTGACGGCTGACATATAAATACGATTTCATGTAATTGCGACGTTTTGGACACTAAACCCAACCAGTTCCTTTTTCTTTTTGTTTGTTTGTTTTTTCGTTTCAGGGGACTTAACGAAATTGACCTTGACCTTGATGGTCAGGGGGGCCGCACCTTTCTCCGTGTCCTGCTTTACCTATGTATGCACGATTATCCTCCCCTGGTGACAGGAGCTTTACAGCTTCTTTTCAGACATTTTAGTCAGAGGCAGGAGGTGTTACAAGCTTTTAAACAGGTCAGTAAAACTCCACAAAATAATTAAGGGGCGGAAGGAGGGGTTGTTGGGACGGGGTTGGGGGGGGGGGAGGGGTGGTGGCTAACTAGCGTGCCAGTAGCGTATCCTGCTCCTGTTCAGGGAAGCGATGATTTGGAACATCCGCCCAGAAGCCTATTAAATCACGGTTATCTTGTTGATTTACAATTTTGATTTGAGCTTTATAAACACAAGGTCAGACGCTTTTAAAACACCGTGAAGTACAAGCTTGTGTTGTTATTTATAACTCCTGTGAGACAATTTGGTTTTGACACCCTGAGAGCACAACACCGAGCGTTACCATGCGCAGTCGTTTGAACGCTGCGTTGTTAATGTCTACTATCTCAACGGCACAGGTTCAGCTACTGGTGTCCAATAGTGATGTGGAGAACTACAAACAGATCAAGTCTGATTTAGACGAGCTTCGGTTGTTAGTGGAAAAATCTGAGCTGTGGGTGTACAAGAGCAAGAAGGATCTTCCTACCGAGAGCAGAGTCAGGAAGATAACACCCGGGCTGGTCGGGCTGAGGATGGAGGGAGGCAGCAGCAGTAAGGAGCCGGAGCAGAGGAAAGATAGCCTGGAACAGCAGGATCTGGAAGTTGTCAGTTTGAACACGACACAGGTGAGAAATAAGTGATAGGGTCTTTGTATAAGTTTGTCATGTGACTTCGTCCATCAGAAGAAATTGTCATGCTGGAAAAAGGGAACAAAGGCGGTGAAATTGGTAGAAACGCTAAGCTTGAGGCGGAAAAAATTATAACGGTATTTTTATTTTCACGTGCTCAGGACCCGGCTAGTAGTGATAGCGAGGGAGGCGGTCCAAAGGTGGGTTCTGTGAAAAGTCACTTGCGAAACAGGCGTCATTATTTTCGTTGTTTCTCTTGAGCCAGGACGAGAAAAGACGGGAATCTTCTTTTCACTTTCCAGGTAGAGCGTCAAAGGATGGTTAGCGATGGTTCCATTGAGCTGGAGGTCGAACAGTCAGACACTGTTTCGCTAAAGAACTACAAGAAAACTGAGGCGGTAAGAGACTTCTCATTTGGCAAGTTTAGCGGAAGGCGCGGTAGCATGGAAGCCTGTGGGCTTAAGGCACACCTTTTTGAGCGTAGTGACATGTCTAAAAACTTACTTTTTATTTTCTTTTAACCAACAGATTTTGGAACGCCTCAGCAATCTTTGTGTTTCTTCTTATGGGACACCCAGTGTGAAAAATCGTAAACACGAGCAAAGATTATTGAGAAACATGGGGGCTCACACTGTAGTCCTAGAGTTACTACAAATACCGTATGAAAAGGTAAACTGCAAACTCGAAAGCTCAGATCAACTTTCGATTTAGTGTCCCAAAAAAAACTAGAGCAATCACATCAGCCAATCAGGAGAAAGAAAAATGTCACGAGGAGCCAATAAGAACTCGAAGTAAAAAGCCCGGATGCAATTTGCATAAAGCGCGGGAAAACGCGAGAGACTAAGTGGCGATTGGTTTTAGTTTTGAATCTGATTGGTTGAGATCACATGACGAAGTGAGACAAAAACAAAGCAATTCCGATTTATGTTTGTCATTCAATTGGAAATTGCTCTAAATGAAGTACTGTGTATTAAATTCTGTAATCTTTTGAAATTTGATTTTTTTTGTTTGTATATCCCCTGAAAAGTCCAAATAACTATTTTAGCCCTATGGAAGGCTCAAGAAAAGTGAAAAGCATATACCTTGTTTAGACAGCAGTTTTCAGTTGATCTTAGCGCTCGCTCAGAGCGACAGCTGAGGTCATTCTTTTTCAAATAAACTGAGGATTGAATTTCTGTATTTTTTTTATATTTTTGTTTTGCTCTGTTTTGTTTTTTCAGAATGAGGACTTGAGGATGGAAGATATCATGGGGCAAGCCCACGAGTTCTTACGAAACTTCTCTCTGAGCAATCCACAGAACCAGTCTCTTCTCCACAAGCATCTGGATTTATTCCTCACCCCAGGGGTAAGATATTTGTAGATATCGGAGCGATAGCTAGCCGGCTAACGAGCGAGTTGCCGATGGTGGTCAGCTATAATAATTATTTAGCTCTCAAAGAGTATGAAGCGGGAGACATTGGGGCCTAATGGTTAGAGCCTGATGAAATGCAGGGGGGGGGGGACACCTTGCGATGGACGAGCATCCCATCAAGGGGGGATTGGTGATACTCCTAGTTGTTTCATGCAAAGGAAACCGGGATAAGCTCCTGCTGGCAGGGCCACTTGGCTCCAGTACAGTCTTAACCTTTTAACTTTCAAGGACTTATTTGCTTCCATCTATGTCCTCAGCTAAAAGAGGCTCACACATTGAGGTACATCTTCATGGAAAACTCAGGGCTGTGTTACGAGGTCACCGAGAAAGTTGTGCAACATATCGTTCACTGTGTTGAGACACAGGGCCGCCATGTTGAATATCTGAGAGCTTTACAAACCCTGGTGAAGGCGGAAGGACAGTCAATTAGAAAGACACAGGACATGGTTATGGCTGAGGTTAGTTTTTCTTTGGTTTGTGCTGCTTATATTTTAGTACGCTCAACTGAACTCTTTGTTAATGAGGCCGGTATACTGTCCCGTAACTTCATTTTTAAAGGTTGTTTCTGAATGCTGACGTTGATTCGCTTTTTATCCCATTCAGAACCTTTCTGTCTCTTTTCGGACAGTTAAAATCTAGTTCGGAAGGTTGGTGCAATTTCGGATGGATCCGTGCGATTTCGGGCAGGCCCGTCTGATTTTGGCCGAGTATATTAAAACCTTAGTTATCATTACGTGGGCCTGGAACTCATTCGAAGTAAGGAGAATGCATCTAACAATCAATACTGTTTTTTTTTTCTAGTTAGTAAACGTGGGTGAGGAGGTTCTGGTCTTCTACAGTGATCCCCAGTCCTTTAACTCTCTTGTGGACATGATGCAGGGAGAACGAGAGAGACTGGACGAAGCTGGACCTCTGTTGTATCATATCAACTTGGTGGAACTGCTGGCCTGTTGTACCGAGGGCAAAAACGTGTACACAGAAATCAAGTGTCACAGTTTACTTCCGCTGGATGATATCGTGCGAGTTGTCACTCATCCGGATTGCATCTCGGAGGTGAGAGAGACTGGGAATAATGTCACCTGTAAGGGTTAGCGCGTCGTACGTAGGAGGTTTAAAAGGTGATTGAATGTTTGTCCAAAGGTTTAGAGAACTCTGCAAAACTTTTCTTCTCCATGGTTGTTGTCGGGACCCTTTTTTGAGTCTTCGCGAACAGGCTTTCGCATTGTTTATAGTAAGTGATTTGGAACTTATGGTTAATTTTTTTCTTTAGGTGAAGAATGCCTATGTAAACTTTTTGAATCATTGCTATGTTGACACGGAGGTGGAAATGAAGGAGATATACACCAGCAATCACATCTGGACTCTGTTTGAGGACTTTTTAGTCGACATGGCTCGGGTGAGCGCATAAAATAAATTGGGATGAAACAAAGGTGGGATCGTGGAAATCTCTGGGACGCTCGTTGGCTTCCCTCGTTCGTTTTCTGTGAACTGTAGTAGTAATTTGAGAAGATGAGAGTGATTTAACTTTATTTTTAGCCTTTCCCTTGTTTGGGTAACAATTTGTGGGAGCTTTTGTTTTTTTTGTGGAATGGAGGGGTTTGTCTTTTCATTTGTTGGGTGTTTTTAAAGATTTGAGAGTAGATAGCGGATCAGAAGAAAAATTTGCCGATTGCGTTTGTGAACGTAGAATGTAGGTCTAAAATCTATTTATGGCTGCTCTCGATTAGTATAGCATGGGATTCAACGGATGAATTGTGGCCTTTTTTTACAAAGAGCATCTTATGAATAATTTGTAAAAAAAATAAATTATCTGGAATTTTATTTTATTTCTTCATGAACCCCACCCGGAACTCGGAGATGGTTTTGGTAAAAGGAGGGAGTTATGATTTTCGTGTTTAATAATTTGATTTCAGCTTAACGCATTCTTATCAACGGTGTTTCCTCGTGGTATTCTATCATAAAATGACGGAAGGTATACTTTTTTTTCTATTTCACAGGTTTGTAACAACACGTCTGACCGAAATCACACGGACACCATGTTAGAAAAATACGCTACAGAAACCATCATGAACTTGTTAACCTTTTTCTTCAATTCTCCTTTCTCCGACTCTAGCACAACAATAAAGGTACTTTGAATGGAAGTTCAATACTTTTTTCACTTATGAAACTTGTGATGGCGTCGCCCATCATAGAGTTTTCTGTAGAGCATAGCACCACTAGAATCCAGAGGTCTGGGGACTTGTCACTTGTCATCTTTTTCTTCTTTTTCTTCTTTTTGTTCCTGGTCCGTTCCAAAAAAAGAGGATTTTTCTAGACCTTAAATCCTGTCAGCCATAACTTTCTAAGAGACTTCTCGCCTTGTTTTGAAGAAATTTGTATACTACTCCGTTTCGCAGTACAAGATGCGAAGGTATTCAAGATACAGAAATGAGTAGCATTGGGTGATAGGTTTTCCTAAACTGTTTGCGTTTTTTTGTTTTTTTCAGTCTCGGCAACCCGTGTTCGTTCGTCTCCTCCGCGGTGCCTTCCGACTTTCACAGTGTTCATGGATGAGTGGCTCGCAGAAATACCACGTGGAGACTTGTATCAAGACCTTATCTGATGTTGGTGAGTGTGGAAGTTTTGTCCTTGACACCCTTAACCCTTTAACTCCCACGATCTCATTAGTAATTCTTCTTATTGTCTGCCATACAATTCTTATGATGTCAGTTTGGAGAATTTGATTTTGGATCAGCTAATAATCCCCTGATTCATATTTTACTTTATTCTCGTCACTTCTATACTTGATATTGTCTAGATATTGTGAGGAGAAATTCTCTCTTAGTCACTCATAGGAGGTAAAGGGTTAAGTGTAAATTTATGGGTGTCCTCTGACATCCAAAAAATAAAGGTGTTGTCAGGTTTCAGTCGAGATTTGAAGTTTCACTAGACGTTTTTTACTCCCCCCCACCCCTACAGGATGGAAGTATGTCTCCCCTCCTCCATCTCTGCTCAACATGGTGACAATTTCCTGTCCGTCATTATTGTGAAGAGTTTTCATTTCTTGAAAACTTTTGCAAAATATTATATTTCAAAGAAAGGAAGCTTCCATAAACTAGATTTACTTTATAAGACTTATTTTTTCGTTTGCAGCAAGGAATCGAGGAATTGCAATCCCAGCAGACCTTGAGAGCCAGATCCAAGCGTTGTTCACTCGGTCTCAGTTGGTGATGAAACATACTCGGCACTGGCTCAGCCACGGAAAGGGCCGAAGGGACTCAATTATGAACCTCTCTAGAGACTATAGGAGCATTATTGAGGGGTTGCAGGTGAGGGTCCTTTACTTGTATTATTTACCAACACCGATAACTGCGCATCAACGTCATCTGATAACCTAATAGTTCCTTATCACAGCGTTATTTGTAAACCTGTCACTCCCGAGAACTAAGGATCCATTATTCACACTGTCTGCTTTATATTTCTTGTGATTTTAGCTCTGGAAATTTGGTATTAAATCAAATAATATTTGGTAATTGGTGAATTTTTTTTCTTGCCACGACCATCTGCTTGAAAATGTGTTGATACTTGTAGGGAGAAAAACCTACAAGGTCATCCTCGGGATGGAATTCCTGCCTGGAATTCACGGTAGTATTAGTTTATTTCGTCGACTCCAGAGGTCTCCAGGCGTCTGCCATTAAGTTTTGGGCTGAGATCGCTTTTGAACTTTCTCAATTGATTCCAAAATGTCCTTCAGTTTGAATCAAAACCCAGAATTCTTACCAAGACGATCGGAATTTATGTTCCTTAAGTTGCCTCTATCCATCACTGGTGAATAGGTTAGGAGAAGAAAGGAATTGGTCGTTGTTGCTTTTAAATTTGGAATTTTTGTTTATCCAAATCACAGGATATTGTTTCACTGCTTGAGGACCAACTTCGTCCTCTCGTTCAATCAGAGTTATCCGTGCTGGGTGATGTACTGTATCGGCCAGAATTGATGTTTCCTCAGCAGTCTGAAGCTTGGCACAAGTCTAAGTCAGGAGGGTTCGTCTCCAGGTATGATGGAAAAGTTTTACTGGTTAAACGAGTTAAAAATGGCGTCGTGAGGGAGATGGAGATTAGCCTGTTTTCATCTCGTCTAGAAAGAGTTCGACAACAATATTTGTGTTTGTTCTGTATTATTGACACGGCTTAGGTGCAAGGGATAGAATACACTATTTCGTCTGGCCATTATTTGTAAAAGTTGTAGCTATAAAAGCTCTCTGTCGCTTTTTCTCTTTCCTTAACCTTGGTTTGGCTGAAAATATAATAGACTAGTCTACTATTATTTATTGTTTCACCCAGGTTGATAACTCACGCTAAACAGCTTCTTGAGGACAACGAGGAAGCATTATGCGTCCGAGTGCTACAGACGATCAAGGGAATGATGGCACGTGACATCGACTTTGGAGAAAAGGTAATGGCAAGAGATGATTAAAACGTGTTGTACATGATTTATGTCAGGATCATCCCTTAGCTATTTCAGCAGACTTTTTAATTCTTATTGTTTTACTGCTTTTAATCCAGGGTGATGGATTGCGTTCATCACTGTTAGGCCGCTACTTTGGCACAAATTATCACATCAGGATTGGCCGTGACGCTAACAGCAAGAGCTTGATTGACAGCAACAGCAAGAAGACCGCTAGTCAGATGGTAAACTCGGGGCCTGGGGCCGAGATGTTGTCACGCGCGGGCGTCACGTTGTGTGAGATGCAAGGACGACTCGACAAGTGCGGTGCATCCGATCTTATTATTGATCTTATAATGGTGCAGCCCAACCTCAGAGTGTTTCTAGAGATACTCGAACTAGCGATTGCCCTACTTGAAGGAGGAAACAATTCTATTCAGGTTGGTAATTATCTCGACTCTCAAGAATTTCTATGATTTTGGACAGGAGGAAACAATTCTATTCAGGTTGGTAATTATCTCGACTCCCAAGAATTTCTATGATTTTGGACACGAGAAAGGAGACGTGCGCGACCACGTTACAACGCGCCTGTTGCCCACGCACGGGCTGTCCGTGCGTGGTCCGCATCATTCTCGACTTGCATCTTTCTTTTCTCGCGTGTGCTCCAGGAACCAGCGCTTTTTATTACGTCTAATCATTTTCGCATATTTCCTTATTTTTCTCTTTTGAAGAAATCATTACTCCATCGGTTTACAAACGGTAAATGTGAAGATTTCTTCCGCTACATCTACGATAAAATGAGAGACGCGGAGGCCGAAATCCGGGCGACAATCACAGTTCAAACAACAGAGTCAACTGTAGCAAAGAAGAGCGATAAAGATGTGTCCCATGCGAAGACCGCCGATGGACGGAGAGGTACTGTGTTCGGTGGACGAAGAGACACCCTAATTGCAGGTCAGCGTCAGAACAGAAAATCATAACTTCATCAAGTCCTTGCTAACAAAATTAAATTAAAATTTAATTTTTTCTCGCGGTTAATTTTTTTATTGAATCATCAGATTAAAATGGTCAATTTCGTTGCTATTTGCTCCTTGAAAAGGATGAATAGTATTATTTGTCGGCTCGGTTATTGTTTCTTCATACAATGATTAAAAGTGTAAATTATGGCAGTGTTTCGACTGGTATTTCTCTGTTTGCAGGCTCTATGATGGGTATCAGCGAAGACGTGAAGGAGCAATTATCAGATGCAGCTATGCACACGGGAAAGGCCTACGCAGCCGTAAGAAGGGGCCGAGACCCGGAAGCTGAAGTGGAGCCTTCGAGGCCCATGCCTAATAGTTCACTTTTTGGGACCGATCTTCAAAGCGCCTCAGGCAAGCATGAAGTCAAGACCATGTCCCCTGAGGTGCTTGTCATGAAGCCTATCCTCAGGTTCCTACAGCTCCTTTGTGAGAACCACAACAGGGACCTTCAGGTTAGTGAGCCTTCTGGGTCCTTTGTATTATTTGATCAATAAATACTTGAATAGCAGAAAATGAAAACTTGAACAAATATCACTTTTTCCTTCTCTTCTTCAACCAGAATTACATCCGCAAACAAGATCACAGTAAGACCAACTACAACTTGGTACACGAGACTCTTCAATTTCTGGACTGTATCTGCGGTAGCACGTCTGGGGGACTGGGCCTGCTCGGTCTATACATCAACGAAAGTAACGTGGGACTAATTAACCAATGCCTGGAGAGTTTAACAGAGTACTGTCAGGGACCGTGTCATGAAAATCAGGTGCGTGACATCTTGTGTAACTTGTTTTCACGCAACAGGTCGTCACTCCCGTCAAGTAGTTTTGTGGGTCGTAAAAATTGTCATGGGAGACATACCTTATGCAATACTCCCTTTCAAAGAAAGTGCCACATTCTGAAACGCCTTTTTCTGGATTTACGGTTTTGGAAACACCCTATGTTTTGTCTTGTATATTGTTCTGTTTTGGTCTTGAAGTGTTGTTTCTTTGTAATATTAGCAAAGAATAGTTTTATTCATAGTTGGTATTATTTTTCTTCGTATCTTTTTTTCAGACCGCCATCGCCCTCCACGAGTCAAATGGTATTGATATTGTCATAGCTTTAGTACTGAACGACATCAACCCGCTAGGAAGACAACGGATGGACTTGGTGCTGGAACTTAAGGTTTGTGCAAATTTCGCCAACTGGCGCTTGAACCCTTCGTAAAGGGCAAGTCTCAGATCATCGCTTCCACTTAAACAAAAGACGTCTCCTAGCTGGATCAAGTCTTTAAAAAAAGTTCCGTTGGACTTTTGACGGTTCCGTATGATTTCATAAGGTCCCGCCCCCGAGTTCGGAAGTTTCCGTGGTTTCCGGTTTTGGTGGATTCAGAACAATACTTTAGAACGTACTGAATCGAACTTCGAGTCATATTTGGCGGTTTTTTTTTTGTTCAGCCTAAGAGCATAATCAATTTTTCCCTTTGCGTTTGGTCTAAAGATGATTAAACTTTATTAATCAATGCATATTTCTTATAGAACAACGCATCAAAAACCCTTCTGGCCGTTATGGAAAGCCGTCTCGATACAGAAAATGCCGAGAGGATTCTGTACAACATGACACCTCAACAACTGGTAAAGTCTTGTCACGAAGATTATTGTTTCTTACTCAATTAGAGCAGTTTTCATTCATCAAAAGTGATCCTGGATTGCTTTGCTTAACTTTGCTCTGCGATTGGTCTAGAAAACCCGCGCCACCATTACAACCAATCAAATGCAAAACTACAACCAATCCCAACCTGGTAGCCCGCGTTTTCCCGCGCTTCGAGCAGGTTGCGTGTTGTTAGTTTAAGTTCTCATTGGTTAACTTCCTCAGTTAAAAACTGCTCTAAAGCTAAGTATCTGAACAACATATGTACAAATTCAAGAGCCACGGAGGGGGGAATTTCTCCTTGTAATGTAGAAGGAAGTCCCAGCAAAGCCTATAAGGTTCAACCTCGTTCGCAGGGTCTCTCTTCTTCACTTCCTTTAGGGCGTGAGGTAGAGAGAGAAAAAACCAAGGTCTCTCTCTCCCCTCAAAGGAAGAAGAGAGACCCTGGGAACGAGGTTGCATAAGGCTTTGTAATGCTCACTTTTTCGAAAGGAGGTTGGTGCTTATCTCGGATTAAAAGTTAAATTGGGTTTGGATTTACTTGCATCAGTATGCATATTATCCATGCTGTTCTCAATACATTTATTAAGGTGCTTTCAACGAAAGCCGGTTTGTTTAACAATCAAGAACTTCTTTTGTTGGTGATCATTTCTTCTGTTCTCATGACCTTCACGTGCATGTGATTTAGGAAAAACATTGTAAGGAGAAATTAGATGTTAGTCATCCTCAGGGGTCAAAGGGCTGAAAATCAAAGCAAAACCAAGTGAATAGATAAGTTTTGGGGACAACTGCTGCCGTTTGTGTGTTTTTACCTTCTCTGTTTGTTTGTATTTTAAGGTTTTTGTTGTTTCAGTATCTTGGATTTTAACATCTTAGGTGGATGTTTGTAAACAAGCGTATAACCAGGAGGACCTTGAAGATGAGAATGAATGTGAAGTTTCTTGTCGCGATGTCGGACACAACATTTTCATACTAGCTCATCAGGTACTGAAATAACTTCAAAGTAACTGAATTGCACAAAACTGTTATGAGAGAAATCTGAATGGTGATTTCTTGTAGTGGAGTCGGGGACTTCAGTCTTGATAGAAACTGTTAATTTCAATTTGTAACGGAAAGTTCTTAAAATTTAAAACTGGAAATTGTGTTAGAAATAAAGCATGCAGTTCTTATTCAAACCCCTGAGTGAAGAGAGATGGTGTGACAGTTGAGCGTCTTGTCCAAGAACTCGACACAGATGGCTGGGGTAAGGATTCGTATTCGTACTCAAATCCCGTTGCGTTAACCCTTTAACTCTCAGGTATTTACCCTCTGCTATACAATTCTTGTGATGTTATTGGATCAACCAATAATCCCCTTGGATATTGTTAGTATTGTTTTGATATTATAAGGAGAAATTCTGTCTTGGTCACTCATGGGATTTGAAGGGTACAGTAAGCATTGAACCAGTTCTTGGGATGTTTCTGCTGTATCTGCTCTAAGTTTATTATTTTTTTTAAACTGAACTACACTCATACCTTATCTGATTTGCAGCTTTCACATCAGAATAAAGATCTGGCGAGTTTACTCAAACCAAGTGCGTCAGCAGAATCGGATGAGATGCACGGTGACAGCGCTCTGGAGTATTACGCAAAACATACGGCGCAAATCGAGGTAAACAACCCTAAAGAAATACAGCAAGACTGTTTTATTTTACCTACAAAGAAATTTTCAGTAAAACGTCAAAAGTGATCCAGGAATGCATTGCTTTTGCTTTACTTCGCTTTTTGATTGGTCCTCTGAACTCTCACCACTTTCTCAACCAATCAGACGCAAAACTTAAACCAATCATGACTTCGTCGCCCGCCCGATTTTAGACACTAGTGTCTGAGTTTTTATTTTGGCCACTTACGTTAACCTTGTCATTCTGAACACCAGCGTCCAGTTGATGATTTTAGCCACTAGTGTCCGATTCGTACTTTTGGCCACTAGTGTCCGAATTGTGATTTTGGCCACTTGTGTCCGATTTTTTTTTGTGGCCACTGGTGTCAGATTTTCTGTTTTGGACACTAGTGTCTGGTTGTAGGTTTTAGCCACGTGTCGCTGATTTTGATGTTGACCACTAGTGTCTAATTTTTGACACCAGCATCCGATTTTAGAAACCAGTTCCGATTGTAGGCAGTAGTGTCCTTTGTTTGACACCAGTGTCTGATTATTTTTTCTAGTGTCCGATTTTTGACGTTTTAGTCCGATTTAAGACATTACTGTCCGATTTCAGACACTACTGTCCGATTTTGTATTGATTGAACAAAGCCAGTATTTGACTTGACAATGTCCGTTGGCTGGCTGTTATTTCGAGCCTTTAGGCGGCTGGTGAGGATTACAAACGGATTGAAAATTTCGCGCCAGATGTTTCTAAATAAACACTATGCGTGTTAGCTTAATGATTTCTCATCGTTTTTCAAACTGATTTCGCCCTGCTTTTGTTTTAGATTGTTCGTCGCGATCGTACAATGGAACAAATTGTTTTTCCTGTACCGAACATTTGCGAGTTTCTGACCCCTGAAAGCAAACTAGACGCGTATCAGACGTGTGAGAGAGACGATCAGAACAGCAAGGTTAGTGATCTGCTTCCAACTTCTCCACACTTGTCAGAACATTGTTAGTCAGATATTGTTATGACAGTAGTGAATAATTTTGCCTTAACGTCAGTTCCAACACTAAATTCTCCCAAGGAATCCTAAAGAACTGCATAACGATACGTGTAGGGAATATCACGTTCGATCTCCGGTCTGACTGATTATCCTTTCATCATTTTTTTTTTAAGCGACGTTTAACTCTTTGCACTGTAAGATCAGTATGCATATTCTCTACACTGTTTTCCGTACATCGTCTAAGGTGCAGACCATTAGCATTTGTTTAACGATCAAGAGCTTCCTAAGTTAGTGATCATGTCCTTTATTCTCGTGACTTCAGTGTGATTCAGGGTTGAGGAGGAGAATTTAGATGCTAGTCACTCTAAGGGGTCCAAAGTTTATTAGCTTTAGAATGATTGTAATCTTTTAAAAGTTTCTTCCTTTGTAATACATCGGTATTTACAAGTATTCATTATAATTTTAAAAAATGGCGAGTTTTTGGACGCTTAAAAATTTCTAGTTAGCGATTGAAGTTCTGTTTTGACTAAAAGAATTCTCTTCTTTTAACTCAAAGGAGATGTTGAACTGATCTAATTTTAATTTTTTTTCTGTCTGTGCAGATTTCAGATTTCTTCGATAGAACCGAGGAACTTTTTAGGGAGATGCAATGGCAGAAGAAACTGCGAGGTAACAAGTTAGAAACTCTGATTATTTTTCATTCAGGAGTGGAGAATGTGTTTTTTTTCTATTGGTGTACACTTTTTCCCTAGCTGCCACATTTCTAGATGAAAACCCTGTAATTGTAAGATATGTAAATTGCCTCCCTCCCTCCTCCTCTCTCGCGTAACGTTATCTACAATCTCCATAGGGGGAGGGAAACGGGTCGTCTTTGTCGCGGCTTCACTGAGTCCGCAAATGTAGAAATAAGACCTGACGCATTCTTGTGGAAAGAAACTACAATGAAACTACCTTAAGATTGCGCGACAAGTTATGTTAATTCAACCAACCTATTGAGACAGGTGGCTTTTTTCTTTGTTACAGAAAGTCGATTTTTGTTCGGAGTAAGCAGCCGAATGACTCTGTGGGAACAGATTTCCATCAATTTAGCAATCCTGATCAATTTGCTCGTGGCGTTCTTTTATCCGTTTTCCGACGGGCCAGGTGGTGAGTGTCATGCTGTGGTTTTGTTATCTTTATGTTCCCGGACAGATACTCAGCTTTGTGTTATCTTAAAATATCCTGACAGAATTTTTGTTCGTTTCGTGGGTGGCTCGAACGCAAGGCGAGTCACGTGAGTGACTGCGCGCGCCTGAAAACGTAAGGAAGTGAATCTGTAGGGACAGAAAAACCTCTCATTGCTTTCTTAAGGAACTGTTCAATGAAAGTAGGGTGAAAGTATTTTTACTTTTGTTTTCCTTCTTTTCCTTCGTTTGTAGAACTTGACGGACGTCTGTCTGTACTGGTGTGGCTGGCCATGATTGTCTCTTTTGTTATAATTGTTACCTTTCCTCGGCCGTCTGGGATCAGGACGTTTGTAGGCTCAACGATACTGAGGCTGATATTTTCCGTTGGGCTTGAGCCTACTCTTAAAATACTAGGACTGGCAACCGTAAGTAACAATGGCAAAAGAAAAACGACTCGTAAATAAAACTGGTTTAGTTTTTAGGCTTGCTCGTGTACAAAACATCCTGTTAAATAGTCTGTAAATAGTCTTTGATTCAACAGAACAACGTAGCATAGCGGTCAAACGTTGGGCATGCATGAGGGGATCAATTCTGGCCGGCTGCGCGCCACTTTCTCGCCGAACGTAGGAAAAAACCGCTTTCTTGCAAAAGAAAACTGCTACGTTCATGTGAATCTGTAAAACGAAACAAAAGTGGTGAAAAGAAAAATTCGGAACTTAACGTTCACAAAGCATGTCTAATAACGGGTTTCTTGCTGATTAGCCATTTTGTTTGAGCTTTATCAAAAAAAAATTATGCTATTTTCAAACACTGCGTCTTACTCGTTCATTTGGTTGTTTGTAAGACAACTTGGTTTTGGCAAACTGAAAGCACGCCACCTAGCCTCCACAACGTTCGCACATGCGTAGACGTTTGACCACTGTGTTGTTCGCAGGCTAAACAGACGGAGATGAGAACTGAAAAGGGATCAGTCGTCCCCAATGTAGTATATAGGGGGGAATAACCCTTACCCTTCCCCTCCCCCGACGATAAATAATGACGAGTCTTAGGTATTGAAATTTTCTCTATGTCAGCGTTCCCTTAGCTTTTGCACAAAAAATTCACAACCATTGTTATTTTTCAGGTCGTTCTCAAAGCAATATTCATAGTAAGTTATGTTGGAAACCGGGGAACTTTTGACCATAATGTGCGCCGGCTTCTTTCGGACAGGAATCTTGTTCTTCATCTGATGTACTTCACGTTTGGCTTCCTCGGGTTAACACTGCACACGTTCTTCTACAGTATTTTGGTCAGTGTTGTGATTAAGTATCACTTTCTCGTTATCTTTTGTGACAATTTCACCTAGTTGGCTAAGGAGAATGAAGAATTTGACCATCAATTAAAACTGTTGTTTCCCAAAGTGAACTGGAGCGACCTACTTTGAGATCATTCCGGCGCAATTTCGACAATATTCTGGAACTTCCAGCTCCAATGCGTAACTGTTTTAATCTTCTTTTCTTTTGTCTACTGAGTTGAATAAAATGTTTTATTCTTCGTTTAAATTTTTTTCAAAGTGATTATTATGTAGCAAGAAAATACATGGTGCGCCACGAATAAGCGAGAATCTAAATTATCCTACATAAGTTAACCTTACAGTCACACACAGACTATGTTTTGGGCTTGGAAATAACCCGTGAGAATACTTTCGAAGCCTGTGTTTCTCTAACCTTCAATGAGGAAAACGCCTTTTCTTCTACCGAGAGGTGCCCTGAAAGGAGGCTCTACACCTGCCCCCACACCACCCCGCCCCTAATCAGCACTTCTTGAAGCTGTGACAACAATCGTCTGTAACTTAGGTTATTTTTCTTTTCAGCTCTTGGACGTTATCTTCCGTGAGGACACGCTGTTAAACGTGATAAAGAGCGTAACCCGTAATGGCCGGTCAATTATCTTAACTGCTGTCTTGGCTCTCATACTCGTCTACATGTTCTCCATCATTGGTTTCCTGTTTCTCAAAGACGATTTCTTAGTAGAGACGGATCCAACACCTTCTCTTAAGCTCGGTGAGGGAATTACCCCTCATAGTAGCTGTACGCCATGGAAGTTACTGAATTTTGTTTTCTACTCATCTAGCTGCTTCTTTCAACTGTGCGCATGTCTTCACTTTCTTTTTCTTGTATTCGACAGCATCCTCAGCTACCTGCGATGCTGATAAGAGCTGCGAAGGTTCCATTTCACTCTCGGAAACAAGCTCAGAAGGAGATGACTCAGTAAAGGAACGTGCCTGTGAGACCCTAATAATGTGCATCATCACTACTCTGAACCAGGGGCTCAGAAATGGAGGGGGAATCGGAGACGTCCTCAGACGGCCCTCCATGAAAGAGAACATGTTCGTGGGACGTGTTGTATACGATTTGCTCTTCTTCTTTGTGGTCATCATTATTGTTCTTAACTTGATATTTGGCGTCATTATTGATACGTTTGCTGATCTGAGGAGCGAGAAGCAGAACAAAGAGGAGGTGCTCAAGAACACGTGTTTTATTTGTGGTAGGTGATCATGAATTTTTGCGTGTGTTCTTGCGGAAAAATTTTGAACGAGTGTCGATTATAATCTGGAATAACTTACGTCGCTTTTGCTTCGCTTCTCTCGTTGATTGGTCCAGAAAATTCACACCATCCTCTCAACCAATCAGAATCAAGACTGGCGTCAATCACGACCTGGTCACTCGCATTTTCCCGCGCTTCAAGTAGCACGCTGAGCAGTTTGTTTACTTGCGGTTTGAGATCCCATTGGTTCCCTATGATTTTTTTTTTCGGCAGTTGTAATTGAAAATTGGAATTCCCTTACCTCACTCTTACATTGATTCTTTCCTACCTTTTTCCTGTCAGGTCTTGATCGGTCGGCCTTCGACAACAAAGTGGTATCATTTGATGAACACATCAACTCAGAACATAACATGTGGCATTACCTGTACTTCATAGTCTTGCTCAAAGTCAAGGACACGACCGAGTTTACTGGACCCGAGAGTTACGTCAGTCTAATGGTCAAGGTACATCATGAATATGGAAAACGCTTCATGAAGTGAGGCAAGGGGAGGGGTGGGAGGCGGAGGGTTTCAATGAAGTTTGAACGAGTCCTTGGGCTTAAATTGCTCACCGAAGGTGGGATGACAACAATTTTTAAGCTACTTGTAGCAACACATCGTAAGCTAACCTACGCGGCGTTTCGTCCTTGTTTTAGGAACACGATCTGGATTGGTTCCCACGCATGCGTGCTATGAGCCTGGCCATTGACGAAGGAGAAAGTGAGCAAAGTGAAATTAAGAATCTTCAGGAAAAGCTGGAAAGCACCACAAGACTGGTATACACTTTGTCGCAACAACTCACAGATCTAAAGGAGCAGGTAGGGCTTGCAGATCAGACCCTATTGCACCTCCCTGTCTCCACCCCATGCCACCTAATCTTCTCTCCTGTAACCTTACCTCACTGCTTTTTCTGCTTCCCTTAAACCTTGTCTTACCTCTTCGTCGCCCCCTCCTGATCTGCCTTCCTTTTTGTCAGACCCCTTATATCTGTCTGGCTTCCTTATCTCCCTTCCTCTTTCCTTGTTCACCTCCTTGTTTGCCTGCCTCCTTCCTGTCCTTGTCTCCTACTTTTCAACCTTACCTGCCTTTTCGTCTTCCTCCCTCCATTCTGCCCACCTCATCGTCTCCAACCTCGCCTTTCTTCTTCTTCTTCCCCACTACCCCCCCCCCTCCCCCATCCAACCCTGCCTTGCCTCCTTTTCACCCCCATCCAGCCCTATCTGCCTCCCAGTTGCTTCGCCTTAATTTAAAAATTTAAAATCTACTGCCTTTGCTTTTGGTATTTTAAACAGATGACTGAACATCGCAAGCAGAGACAACGAATCGGTTTGTTGGGCCCTCACTCTGCATCTGCACTAAATAACAGTCTTACGACTAACAACTTCAAGATATGAATGTTTATTTGGAAACAAGAAAGAAAAGTGATCGACAGAAAAGAAGAGAGAAATACCGGACGATGAAGTGAAAGAGATTGACAGTTGAACGGAATCGGGCACTGCAACGAGCGTGGTTGGGTTGAGAACCCGTGCAACAAGGATACTTTTTGTAACACCTACCTGTTTATGGCCCAAGACAGATAATTCTCTCATGATTGAATGTCTGAAGGAAAATCTCGCACTTAAGAGACGAAGAAAGTAGCTTACTCAATCTGACTTAAAATCAGTAACGTTCTCAAAAATATAAATTTATATGAACGTAACTTTTGACGCAAAAAGAAATTTCATTTCTTGAAGGTCTAGACAAAATATGCTTAGCTTGATTTTTGGGAACTTGATTATTGCGCTTTGTTGATTGCCCGGCTTAAGTGAGAAAGGTGTAGAGATCATCATCTTTCACTGACAAATAAAGCGTAGAAAACTTGGCGAAAAAGTTTTGAAGACAAAGGACATAGTGCGGTTATCTGAGACAGTGGTGATTTGTAGAGTAAATGGATCTATAGTGATATGCAGTGAGATTTCTGGAAAACATTACGATCTTATTGCCCATAATTTAAGAACTAGATGTCAAGGTTGAAATTCTTCTAATGGTCTCGTTACAAGTCTTATGACTCTGGTCGTGAGAATTCATATGTAGATAAACAAATTTTTATGGATGACTTGAGTTTCTTTTCTTTTGACAAGTATCCCACCTTCAAGCTTTCAACCCAGTCCCACGCGCTTACCACCAGGCCATGGAGCTTTGATCGCTCACCTTCTTTGGCGTCACACAACGCTTGCTATGCGTGACGACTCTCGGCCAGTAGTTGACGAGAGTGAGATGCGCCAAGCTTTGCGGAATCACCACGTCAGAGTTGATATTTGTTGGAAAAAAAGCTACTGAAGAAGCAGGCTTATTAACTTATGAGTTCAATTAACCTAGTAGTAAAAAGTTCTCTTTTAATCTGATAGAATTTCCTTTTGTTTTAAGTTCACGTGCAGGTAACACTCAGGCAATCCCCACAGTGTTTCGATTCCCATCGCCCAACCAATGCAACCTATTTTCTTGTTGTTTTGATGTTATTCAGAGAGGTAAAAGAATTCCATTCTCTCTCAACTTTATTAAAAAGCAGATCATCAAGACTTTATTTTGAATGGGAATCGTGTTTACCGTGTTTTCTAGCTTGTCTTTTATATCGTAAATGTCTGAGTTACAAAAAAGGTTAACAGGGCAATGCGCACAACTAAGCTTTTCCAGAACCCAAGCTTCATCGATCAATTACTTCTTTACTTTTCTTTAATTGTTAATTACGTGAAACTGTTCTTTGTCCGATCGATCGACAGACCCAGTCTCCAGAAAGGGAGGGAAACGAGGAACAAAACATCAAATGAGCATGGCTTAATAAATGAAAATCCTAATTTAAGTCTTGCAGGCTATAATGTTCATCATTTCCTTCTACTGATTTATCAGTCTCTTCCTCAGCAATCTCATCTTTCTGAGCACCATTTCCCGTTTTCTTGTGGCCTCCATTTTCTGTAGCGCCTTCCATTTTCCTGGCTGGGAGGACTTGGACAAGAGACTCTTTCCAGTCCTTTGTCTGTGAGTACAGCAACATAATCTCAAACACATGATTCACGGTAATTACAGTTCTGGATTTCAACTTCACACACTCACTAATCGGTAACCGCGCATGCGCGATTCCACGCTCGACAGCAAGCCTGTAGCACAGTCCTTTGTGATGATTATGGTCAACAAGGCCACCAATTATGTATGCCTTAGATTCATCGACTTCGCTCAAAACATTGGGTGAATCCGAAGTTAGATACACTACGTCCTCTTGCGAGAAAACATCGCCGTAACTTTCTTCCTTTATGTGAACATCCCAACTTGTATATTTACAGTGAATTTCATCCAGTATTGTCTTGGACCTGCCGCCAAAGCTTGTGAGGTACAACTGAATAGGTCGGTCGGCTCGTCTGTTGATGGAGTACGTTCTTTGGATTTGTTTCAAGAGTTTATGAATATCGCGATCGGTCATTAAATCGTCGAAACTCAGGTCTATTGCGACACGAAGAGAAGAAGCATGTTCAGAGTTCATCGACCTAAATTTCTTCTTCTTCTCACAAGAAAGTTTCTCTTTGTTGTTAGTCAGATTGTCGCTTGCAGAACTCACGCCTTCCTTCCCATCCTCTGTCTCCTTCCCCTCCTGTAGTTTTCTCTTTTGCGCCTTCTTCCTCTCCTTTTTTTCTTTTCTTTTAATTTTCCTATGTTCCACGAAAAATTGACGCTTTTGAAGCCTTTTTCTCTGTCGCTTTGACATTGTTGATTGATCAATGTCCTTCGATTCCTCTATATCGCCTTCCATGTTTGAAACCTGACTATATCTTGGAAGTGAGAGCAGTATGTCGCTGGTCATAAATATAACCGTAAAACTTTTACTCTTGAGGTTGGCTGCTTAAATTAACGCGATAATATATATGAAAGCGGTGTTTCACGTTCTCCTTGCAACGCGTCGGCCATCTTTAAAATGTCCCAGAGTTCTTAGAAAGCTCGTTCGTCTCCAGGAGAGCTCTGAATAAATTTTGGCGCCTGGTAACGAACTTTCAAAACTACACTACACAAACCCACAAACCCGTCTCTTTGACTTAACTTTAGATCTTACTTCATTTGAACGTATACATTTTAGTGTGTGAAATGGCTGGAAATATTGAGCACCATATCCAAAATACCTTGCTACAAGCAACAAAGGTAATGGAAGAGCAGATCGATTCAGAGATTGAAAAACTGGACCGTATGACTTCGGACGAAATGGAAGAGCTTCGTGAAAAACGGTTAGAGCAACTGAAAAAACAAGAGCAGCAAAAACGGGAGTGGCTTCACAAAGGACACGGCCAATACAACGAGATTCCGGGAGACAAAGAATTTTTCAAGGAAACAAAAGACAGTCCCAGAATCGTGTGCCATTTCTTTCGCGACAGCACTTTTCGTTGCAAGATAGTTGACAAGCATTTGGCACTTTTGGCACCGAAGCACATTGAAGCAAAATTTGTCAAAGTGGACGCTGAACGGTGTCATTTCCTTGTAGAAAGATTAAATATTAAAGTCCTGCCGACCATTCTGCTTATCAAAGATGGTAAATTCCTCGATCGTATCGTGGGGTTCGATGAGTTAGGAGGTCATGATGAATTCAGCACCGCGATGATGGAATGGAGAATAGCGCGCTCTGGTGTTATTAATTACTCTGGGGATCTGAGTGTACCACCTGATCAGGCTAACAAGAAAAGTTCCACAACGATATTAAAGAAATCAATCCGGAGCAGAAGAGATATGGACGACGATGAAGATTCTGAGGATGATGATTAACTTTAGACCATTAACACTTTAACTCCCAAGATCTGATAGCTAATTCTCCCCTCAAGCTGTTACAGATTTCCTTGTACATAAGTCAGGAGAATTTGTTGTTATATCAAGGTAACAAACTTAAACCCAATAAATTTGAGAGTTCTCATTACCTGGTTGTTGGATGATGTATGGATATTTTAGGAAGAAGTTACATTTAATCACTTCTTCTCCATTTTTATGGTTACTCGCATGTAATGGTTTATCAATCCAGTCCATGACGTAAATTAAGAAATTTTAAGGATGATGATTAACCCTAGACTGTTACCAAGCTCGTATGGTTACTTAACCCTTTAACTCCCAAGATCTCATTAGCAATTCTCCTTACTGTCTGCCACACAGTTCTTGTGATGTTAGTTTGGAGAATTTGGTATTGAATCAACTTATAATCCCCTGATTGATATTTTTCTTCATTCTCATCACTTGTCTGCTTGATATTGTATTGATATTGTAAGGAGAAATTCTGTTCTGGTCACTCATGGTAGTTAAAGGGTTAATATTTTATCACTCCAATAATTCTTCTAGTTATGTATAAACTGTGTGACTGATTTCTATATATTTTTGGGAGACCATTTTTAAAGTGAATGTGAACTGCCAAACTTGGAGGAAATATGCTATCACATGAAATAAAATAAGAATCAAGGCAGTCTTAGTAGACTTGTTTTCCCAAGTGCCTGCCTTATTTATCAACTGTGAGATCTTGTTTAAGGCAGAGTATCTGATGATTGAGTGCAATTAAAGCTCAAGTACAACTGTGTCTCTCTGTTGCTTGCATGGAGTTCCCCAAAGGGTGTTTGATTTTTTTTGTAGAGGTAACTGAAAACAAAGAAGTCAAATGCAGTTGAGACTTTAAAGGGTCATAGTAGCTCATAGTAGCTCATATCAATTTTGTTGTCAGTTATGTTTTTGAATACATAGTGAACAAAAAAAAATAGTTCTTTAACAAAAAGTTATCCTTGGGCACAATTTTGCACACCTATTGATGACTAGATGTGAGTTTTATGAGGCATTCCTTTCACATAATTTCAGAAATAAGAAAAAGAAAGAAAAAGAAAAGAAGAAAGAAAAATAGTAAGAAAAAGAAAAATAAAGTGTGTATAAAGTGTGTAAAGTGTGAAATTCCATAAAGCTGTGCTCTAAAATAAACCCTTGTTTTTTAATACACTCATGCTTCATGCTCTTGATAACACACTTCAGACTTGTTTGTCTCCCTCTGATACAAAAATAACATGAACAGCAAAGCTAAAAGATGAGTAGAAATTTCTTATGGACACATATTCTTTTTTTTCTTTCAAAAAAATATACATTTAGTTTTTTTTTAGTAGTAAAGTTTGTGTTTTAATATGCCTCATTTCCCTTTTTTTGTAATTCATGTTTTTTTAACCCTTTAGCTCTCATGAATGACCAAGACAGAATTTCTCCTTACAATATCAATTCAATATCAACCAGGTAAGTGATGAGAATTAAGGAAAATATCAATTTGGAGATAATTAGTTGATTCAATTCTCTGAACTAACATGATAAGGATGGTATCGTTGACAGAAAGGAGAATTTCAAATTTGATCTGGGAGTTAAAGGGTTAACAAGCCTTGATTAAATCTGAAACATTTGTCTCAAATATTTCCTTTTTTTCCTTTTATCTGAAAAGTATCAGAGCTTGAAACAATGAATGAAACAGTATTACAACATTAAAATGCGAGATGCGAGAAATATACTTCATTGCACAGCCAAAAATGGCTGATTTTTAAAAATTAATTAGAAGAAATGCTACCTACTGATGGTGAACGATTTTTCAAAAGCCAAAAATCCCCCAGATTTCCTTGCGGGTGAAGCTTACAATAACAAATCACGTGATAACACTCTCCACCATTTGTTCGCGCCGTGGGCCGATGAGAGGCTCGCGCCAAAAACCAAATATAAACCATGTTTACGTCGTTATTCCACGAATTACGGGTTTGTTTACATCTTAGATGCTAGAAATCCTCTCTGGTTATTTCTTGGATCTGCCTAAAAAATCCTGGAATTCTACCAGAGCTCGTGTCTTTTCCACCGAAGCAGCGAATGTTGGAAGACCGATGCTGATAAGTGAAAGATCTGCCCTGGACGTGCTGGTCATAGAATGTAAGCAACGTGAATATTTTCCATAGAATTTCTAGGACCCTTTCCAATAACTACTGCGATTTGTAAATTTACTATCCATATTTTTGAAAGGGGAATGTGTTGCTGTGCTGTCTGTCTACGTATTTTATGTAGAAAACCTTCACTTGTTGCTAGCAAT